AAAGCATGCCAGGCACCCTGTAAGCTGAGCCGGTCCTTCCCTGGTTCACAGACCCCCATCCCCGCCCTGGTGGAATATTCCAGCAAGGCCCATCTCACAGATGAAGAAACAGGCAGCTCAAGTTAGGAGGTTGCCTTGGCCAGGGAGTGGAGGAACCGTGATGAACCAGGTGTGCCTGGAATCTCTTTCCCACCAGGATGACTACGGCCATGCAGATGTTAACAGCCGTGTGTGGGCAGGGCCTGATGTGCGTGGACGGGGCCAGAAGGATGTGGGCGGGGTCACACCGGGAGGCGGGGCCAGGAGCATTCACAGGCTTCAGTGACAGGAAGAGTGGCACACAAGCTCATGTGTTCACCAGGTCACGCCATGTACAACGTACACAAGTGTGCACAGATCACACACATGCGGACACTGAGCCGGGAGTCCTTACTCTGCCTGAGATTCTTCCTCCATGGACACAGCGTGCTAGGGATCCGTGTTGATGGACCTGGGGCATCTAGGAGACAAAGCAGAGTCAAATCGAAGGGAGTGAGAGGGAGGGCACAGAATGGGGGCCTGGCCCCACTCCCACCCCCAGTAGGGAGGGGCACTGGGCCCAACATGGGATGGAGATCTGGGGGCGGCCTTACCAGGGGTGTGCAAGCCAGCCGCTTCAGCTGGAGCCTGCACGTGACCCTCTTCCTCCAGGAGACCTGCTAGCTGGCTGAGCCACTTCTTCAGAGCGCCCACCTGCTGCTCTTCGTCCCACTGCAGCGGGGTGAAGCGCTTGACAGGCCCCGGGGGCACCAGGTGCTGCGATTCCTGAGCACCGGGGACAGCCACAATGAGGTGTGCACAGGGGCAGAGCCACTGACCCCCACCCTGCCCTGCCCTGCAGAGATCCGGTACCTGGAGGAAGGTGATGTCGTCGGACTGCTCCAGGAGGCTCCGGGCCCGGCTGCCGTACTCAGTTAATGCCTGCAGGTGGCGCTGCAGCCGCTGCTCCTCCACCTCGGCCTGCGCCATTGCGCGGCTCTTAGCTTCCTCCACCTGCCGCAGTGCCAAGGACTGTCGCCTCTCCAAGGCCTGCAGCAGGAAGCTGGACTTGCTAGAGATCACGGAGGCCAGGGTGCAGGCTGAGCTCTAGGCAGACACAGGAACCAATGCTGGGCTGAGGGCTGAGACGGCCCTTCTGCCAAGGGCCCCAGAAGCCTCATTCCAGCTCTCACCACTACTCCCTGCTGCCAGGACCGATTTCAGTTGCTTCCACCTACTGCTCAGTGTTCCGGGATCAGCAGAGCCACTGGCGTACCTGGACCTGCTGAGCCTGCTCCTTCAGCTCCTGGAGCTGCCGTTCCGCCTGGCTCAGCTGCTGCGGCTGCGCCTCCAGCCCGGCTCTCAGCTGTTCCTGGTGGCCCACGGGGAGGGGAAAGGAGTGACAAGAGGGCAGAAGCGACCCCACCCGCCCCCAGTACACAGCAGCTTGTGCTCACACCCTCTCCTGATGCCACAGCCTTGGTGTAAGCTCTGGGGCGGGAGGGGGGGGCAAGTGGGACCTTCCAAGTGCCCAGTCTCTGGGCCCAGAAGAGGGGTCCCCTGTGACTGAGTCCTCTGGAAGCCCCAAAATAAAAATGTGTGCTTTTTTTTTCGCTTCTGGTTTTGGGACCACACCCAGCGGTGCTCAGGGGTTCCTCCTGATTTTGCTCAGGCTTGAGGGACCACATGTGGTGCTGGGGATTAACCAGGGTTGGCCGTGTGCATGGCAAGCTCCTTACCTCCTGAACTCCGAAAATGTTATGTACTATCCTGAGAGCAAGTCAGGAAACGCCTGGAACAATGTCTCCCCTAACCCCAATGACTCCCAGTGACCCCAGACACTGGCTCCCACCCCAGCAGTTCTGGTCAGGACTGTTAGCAGTTTTGTGTCACATGACCAGATGGCACGCGGTCAAGGTCATGAGTTCTTTCAAACTGCAAAGCTCTTTATTGGACTGATAGTACAGGGGGAGGGCATTTGCCTTGCATGCATCAGATCTGGGTTTGATCTCTGGCACCCCATAAGCACCCCAAGCCCGCCAGAAGTGACCCTCTTTCGTGATGGTCTTTCCCCTGACCCTCACACCTGAGCACCGCCAAGTGTGGCCCAAACCCCTTCCCCCACAAAAAAATAAATAAATAGCAAAGTTGGTCCCTGAGGTCCCTAACGGGGGGAGAGGTGGGCATGTGGGGGAAGGGCGCACAGTCCTCAGGTCCCCTCTATCTCCCAAAACCGGGACGAGGCACCCTGCGCCCAGTGCCCCCAGGTCCCTTCCACCAGCCAGTCCAGCTCCGTGCTCCACCCTCTGGCCTTCGTGCGCCTCCAGGTCTGTGGCCTTCCCGGGCCGTTAGCTGCCAGGGAGGGCCCCCGCCCCCAACTCTGCCCTTCTCGCCGTGCTCCATCCTGGCCCGCTCTTTCCCAGGCCCTCGGAATGGGACTGTCGCCACCTTCCAGCAGGATTTTGACCCTTCCCGCCGTCAAGGGGGGCTGGGGGGACACACCAGCGCCCCCTAGAGGCCCCCCCCCCCGCGGACGCAGCCCTGGGCTTCACCTCGCGCTCCCGCCGCACGGTGCTCGGCAGCGCCCTCTGGTGGCAGTGGCAGTCCCACACGGTGCAGACGCAGCACACGCAGCGGCCCTCGGTGCGGCAGAAGAGCTCCAGGGGCCAGCCGTGGCGGGGACAGCGCTCCTCGGACCCGGGAGCGGCCCCGGGGTCGCGGGGCGAGCAGGGGCCGGGGCGGCAACCCTGCTGGGCGCGCACCGTATCCGCCAGCTCGCTGAGCAGCACGTTGCGATGCAACTGGGCGGCGTCGGGGATAGACTTCCTGCAGTTGGGACAGTGGTGTCCCCACTTCTGGATGCACGCGGCGCAGAAAGTGTGTCCGCAAGGCAGCGACACCGGGTCCTGGTAGAGCAACAGGCAGATGGCGCAGCTCAGCTTCTCCTCCAGCCATGCCATGGCGAGGGTGCCGGACGGGGTGCGGCCGCGGGGAAGTGCAGCCAGGGACACCGTGACCCGGAACCAGCCGTGACAGCACGCCTCCGCCCCTGCTGGCCTCCTGACACCGGCCGGGAGCCAGCGCCCCGCCCCACCAGGCTAGGAGACCTCAGTCAGGGGCTGCGGGTGGTGGAGCATCGCGTCTGGGAACAGGGGTCCGGACCCCCACATAGTCTCTTCCGGGCCGGTCCTCGTCACTAACTTGTTTCTTGGGCGGGGGGCGGGGGGGCCATACCCAGATGGTCTCTGGGGTAATCCGTGACTGCTCAGAGCAGACCTCCCATGCAGTCTGTAGCTCCCCTGCTCACTAGCTCATCTCCGGTTGTTGGGTTTTTCTTGGGGGGGGGGGGGGGGGGGGGGTTACACCTGGCAATGTTCAGGGGTCACTGTGGTTCTGTGCTCCGGAATTACTCCTAGTGGGACTTGGGGGAAATGAATAGGGTGCTGGGGGTTGAACCTGGGTCGGCTGCATGTAAGGCAAGTGCACTATCCGCTATGCTCTCTTCAGCACTCTCTAGCCCAGTTTGTTTTGGGGATGTCCAGTGGTGCTGGAGGCTGCAGCATGTGTTGCTGGGGGGCAGGGATTGGGGACCATGGGGCGTGTGTGAAACACAGCCTAGTCCTTTGGGTTAGCTCCCCAGCCCATCACTGGGGGGAGTGGGGGGAGTGGCAGTGAGGTATGCACCATACGTGGCTCTGTGCTTAGGGCTTACTCCTGGCTCAGTGCTCAGGGATCAGTCCTGACAGCACTGGGTGGCGTCAGGGATCTAACCTGGGTCAGCTGCATTCAAAGCCAGTGTCCTTGTTTTATTTTTTGCTTTTTGGGTCACATCTGGCAGGAATTACTCCTGGTGGTGCTCAGGGGACCATATGAGATGCTGGGAATCGAACCTATGCTGGCTGCATGCAAAGCAAATGCCCTCTGCTGTGCTTTCGCTCCAGCCCCCACTGCCAGTATCTTACTCCAGAATTATCTCCACAACCCGCTTTTGTTTGGGAGCCACACCCAGAGGTGCTCGGAGCCTGCTCCCAGCTCTGTGCTCACCACCTGGGGCCCGCTTGGTGATAGGGGTGGTCCCTGGGCCCCCTGGGTGCAGAGCCACACAAATCCCGGGGCGTCATCTCCTGCCTCACTCAGCAGCACTGACATGGGAGTTTGGGCAGGGACACCGGTCAGTGCAGGTGGACATGGCCAGCAACAGGGGTATACAGCTTGTGCTCACAACAGGCCCCTTCCTGGTGGGAGGGGCACTGCTGTACGCAGAGGGGCAGAGCTTCGCAGGTTTGCCAGACTGGAGATCTTCCTTCCTACCGGGAGGCCTGGCTCAAGTAAACAGATGGAACTTGCTGGTTGCCAGAGCTGAACCCCAAGGGAGGGTGCATCACCCCCAGTCTGGAAAGCCTGGCTCCGCAGCCCAACCTCGATGCTCACGGGTGCAGGACTCAGGGAGGTCCTGAGCAGTCACCGCCCACTGGGTGACATGGGTGAGCCCCCACTCTAAGGGAGTGGCCTGGGTGTTTGTCACTGTTAGCTTTTGGCCACACCCAGCTGTGCTCAGGGATCACTTCTGGCAGGGCATAGGGGACCCTATGTGGTGGCAGGCAAGGAACCACAAACGCTGTGCTCTTGCCTGGCCTGCCTGGAGATGGTACCTCGGCCGTCTCCAGTTCACTTCGCCAAGTTTCCCGAACTGTGCCAGGGGCTCAGACTTAGCCTCTAGGGAGGAAACAATCAGAGAAGCAGAACCAAGGGCACGGGCTCCCCGGCCTCCGCCAGCCGTGGGCAAGGCTGCCCATCTCCATGCAGAGGTCAGAGGGCGCAGTCCAGCCCTGCTGCATGACTTGGCCACCAGCCGGGGATCTCACCCACCTGGGCTCACCTCCTGTGGCAGGGTCCCCCCGTTTTTCCCCAGAAGGGAAATCTCCCTGGGCCCCTGGGTGCTCCCAGGACAGTGCCAGGGCAGCCAGGGAAGAAATTCTCTTTATTCCCATCTCGCCGCTGCCGGCCACGCACGCCCCCACTGTCCAAGGTGGCAGGTGCTGGTCCCCGCGTGGCCCTCGGCCCACGGCCCCGCTCAGTAAATGCCGTAGGTGGGCTCATGACTGTCCCGGTACCGGTCCAGGTAGCGCAGCGGCTGCCGGTGGGGGAAACGCTTCTGCTTGGGGTGGTACGGGGGCGGCCGGACGAATTCAAACACGGGCTCCCGCATGTCTGCAAGGAGAGTGACAGTGCCCTGGGGCCTGTGCTGGCCCAGGAGGGGGCTCCCCACCTGGCCGCACCCCCCAGTCTGCTCTTCTCTTACCCAGAAGCTGATGGAAAATGTGGGTGACCGACTCATCCCAGCGGCACTGGAAGAAGGCCAGGCCGGCCGGGGTCAGGGCCTCCTGGTGCTTCTTGTAGAATTGAAACGTGTGGAAGGTCCGCTGGGCAAGCTGGTAGCTGGGAGAACAGGGGGCAACCTGAGGTCGGGGGGCACTGGAGGGGCCCATTACCCCCCAGGCAGAGGCAACCTGGAGGAGCTCCTCGGTGTCTGCCCACCACCAGGGCCCCTTTGGGAGGCTCAGGGCTGAGCTGGAGGGAGTCAGCGAGACCCCCAGAACTGAAGGGCACAGCCTGAGACTGGGGGTGCGGGGTACAGATTACCAGGGTGCGGGCCGGGTGTCCCCCGAGAAATCAATGGGCTTGTCCTGCTTGAAGAGCAAGAAGACGAAACGGTGGAAGCCGGTGCCGCGGGCAGGGAAGGGGGGCAGGTAGGGACACGTCTCCTGGCCTTCGGTCACCCTGGAGTCCGGGATGTTGGTGCTGGTGGCAGGAAGCGCAGCCGTTAGTGGCTGCCTGGGGGGCAGCGGGTCCCCCCACTCACCAGATCAGTCATTCCCAGGGCGGGTGATCCTGGGGTGATCTAGGGGACGGGAGCCACAGGTAGTGTGTTTGGTGGGGGGGGTGCAGGGCAGCTCTTGTTTGTTCACAAGTCTGTGGCACACCCCTGAAGCTGGAGGTTTGTGAGGGGTGCGGGAGGGGTTCAGGACGGTAGCACGGGAAAAAGGTGAGCCCAGCACCCCAGCACTCCTGGCCCACGGGGCTGCTGCTCTGAGTCCCGAAGCAGGGCTCTGGGGTTTGTGGAGACATCTGTCTGCCCTGGCACCCCCAGTTCCGCTCTGCAGTGGCCTGCCACACAGGCTAGTGTCTACAGACGAGTTACAATGCCAGGAACTGGCGGTCTGGTCACTCCCTGGAAGGCCCAAGTGTGGGCCTGACCACTGGCCTGGACTGGGGGACTATGGCCCCCCTAGGAAACCAAAGGAGGGAGAAGCCAGCGTGGGGGGAGGGTCCACCAGCCTCCCAGGGCCATTCTACACCTGGGAGCCACGACTTCCGGTGCCACGCCCCCGGAACTCACACCAGCCAGTGCAGGTACTCGGCCTCCGGCTCCAGCAAGTGTCCATCTGTTAAGGAGAGAGCCCGCTAGCCTTGGGGAGCACCCGGGCCCCCGCCAGCCCCGTCCAGCCTCCCAGCACCTGGCATGTGGGGGGAGATGGGCCCCGATACCTACCCGGGCTGGTCAGCAGCAGCGTCCACAGGGAGCCCTTGTCAGCCTCGTAGGTCACCTCCGGGGCCTGCGCAGCCTGGTGGGAGACACGGAGAGGATGCAGACTCCCCAGTGGGACAGACCCCGTCCCCCTGCGGCCCAAAGGCGCTGGGCGGGTGGGCAGCTGGGAGGGGGTCCTGCAGGTTGGCGCGGAGTGTGTGGGTATGGGGGGGTTGGGTGGGTGGGGGTGCAAGCTGCTTCTCTTCCCTTTTATATTCTCTTTTAAAAAAATTATTTTGTGGTTTTGGGGCTACACAGGGAGGTGTTTAGGGCTTACTCCTGACTCAGTGCTCAGGAATCAGTCCTGTGGTGCTCGGAGGACAATATGGGATGCTTGAGGTCAAACCCGGTCAGCAGGGTGCCAGGCAAGTGCCCAGTCTGCTGTGCTCTCTCTCCAGTTCCTTTGTTTTGTTTTGTTTTGAGTCATATCTGGCAATGTATAGGGGTTATTCCTGCTCTGCACTCAGGAATTACTCCTGGCGGTGTTCGGGGACCATATGGGATGCGGGGATCAAACCTGGGTTGGCTGCATGCAAGGCAAATGCCCTACCCGCTGTGCTATAGCTAGGACCCAAGCTACTATGTCCTTTCCTTTTTTTTAAATTTGTGACCCACACCTGGCGATGCTCTGGGATCACTCCTGGTGGTACATGGGGAACAAAAAGGGGTGCAGGGAACAAAACCCAGGTTGACGTCATGCAAGACAAACACCCTACCTGCTGTGTATCGTTCCAGCCCTGTCTTTTTTCATTTTTTGGTTTTCAGGCCACATCTGGCAGTGCTCCGGGGTTACTCCTGGCTCTGCACTCAGGAATGAGTCCTAGCGGTGCTCGGGGGACCATATGGGATGCCAGGGATCGAACCCAGGTTGGCCGCATGTGAGGCAGTGCCCTGCTACCCACTGTGCTATGGCTCCGGCCCCATCCTTTCTAACGATCACGGTGTTGGTTACGACAGATTAAAAGGATGACAGGGATGTGGGCTGTGATCCTTCCACCCTCAGCTTTCAAAGTAGAGTGTGGTTTTACCTCGGTGGGTGTGACCTCGTTGCCATGGTACACAGGCATCAGATGATCCTCTCCAACAGCGTAGGCCACGTGCAGGGGAACGTAAGGAACAAAGGTGGCGCTGTGGAACAGGTCCCGGTAGAGGCCATAGTACTCGGCCAGCCGCTGCTTGTGGTACGGGCCGCAGGTCCGCTCCCACTCGGCCCGCACCTCCTCCAGCGGGATGCTCGCTGCGAAGGAACAAGGCAGCTGGAGGCAGGAGAGGCCGGGGCACTCCTTGCCCAGCTCGGCGTCAGGGCTCACCTGTGCCAGGCAGTCAGGACACCCCTCACCCAGCTCTTGTTGTCAGAGCTCACCTGTTCCCAGGCGGGCAGCACGCTCTGCCTCCACACTGGCCCGCAGCTCTCGCAGGAATTGCTTCCGCTCCAGGAGCTGCTCGGTCCGGCTGAACTTGGGAGGGGGCAGCCCAATGTCAATCTTGTCTTTAGGATCTAGAAAGCAAAGGCAGGTTGGAGAGAACAGGGTGAAGTCCTCCCTCAAAACCACCTGTTCCCGGGGCTAGAGCGATAGCACAGTGTTTGCCTTGCTTGCGGCCGACCCAGGTTCTATTCCCAGCATCCCATATGGTCCCCCGAGCACTGCTAGGAGTCATTCCTGAGTGCAGAGCCAGGAGTAACCCCTGAGCATCGCCAGGTGTGACCCAGAAAGGGAAAAAAAAAAAAAACCTGCCTGTCCCTGGGGCTTGAGAGACAGTGCAGCGGGGAGGGTGCTGGCCTGGTCTGGAGCCGAACTCAATTCAATTTTGGCACTGTGGAGGATCCCAGCACTGCCAATAGTGATTCCCGAGCACAGAGCCCTAACCGTTGCCAGGTGTAGCCCCCAAACCGAAACCACCATAGCCGCCCCCAAAAGCTGCCTATCCTCAGCTACTTGAGCTGAGAGCTTTCTCTGCGAGACATAGCTGAAACAAGACTTGGCGGGAGTTCACTCAGCAATGGGACGGAACCTAAGACTGCAATTGTTGGAGCCTGACCAGAGTCATGAGGAAGTTCCAGGAACGCCACCTTGCAAACAAGGCCATGTCACAGCTGCAAACAATTAGAAACTCTGAATGAACTAAGCTGGGGTCAGCATGTCCCAATGCAGCTGCTTTTTTATTATAGATTAACTGTGCTATGCTGGATAAATAAATACCTTACTGGGCTACTTTGTAAGCTTGCATAGATTTTGAAGTGAAACTTGAGGGAAGTGGGATGTAAAGATTTACATAGGTGGTCTGATTTGCTTCATCATCAATGTGCGTCATTAGGCTACAACATAAATATGTACTTTAAGGTCTTCTGAACCTACGTTCTTTGATCTTGTGTACTTTGAGGTATGCTAGATGTTTTGATCGTTAACCCAATAAAGAGACTGCAAAAGCTGCTCTTGGCCATGGACCTAGAGAGCTGTGGTCTTCACACCTGACTTGCCTTTGCGCCTCTGACCAACTGACCGACCGTTTATGCAGCATTCATGGCTGACCTCTCGACCACAGCACACTGTCAGTCAACGACACCCAATTCTAGCTGGGAAACTCTTCCAATTTACATGTGCACCGGTATCCTTGGCAAATGGGACTGCCAAAGCTGGATGTGCTCCCCATAGATTACTGGGCAGACCCTGGGAGGTTGGGTGAAAATTCAAATTCTGGGGGCTGGAGCTGGGGTTGGGCACTTGCCTTGCAAGCAGCCAAGGTTGGATCCCTGACACTCCATACACCCTGAGCCCTGTTAGGAGTGAGACCTGAGTGCAGTCAGGAGTATTTGCTGAGCATCAAGGGTGTGCCCCCCCCCCAATTAAAGTCTGTATCCTGTAATGTTCAGGGCATTAATTTAGGAGCACTGAGTGGTGTTCTAACTCCAGAGGGGAGGAAGGGTCAGGAAGTCAGGGAAGGGTTTAGTAGATCTAAGATGAACCTTTAGGGGCTGGAGCAATAGCACAACGGGTTTGCAAGGGTATTTGCTTTACATGTGGCCGACCCGGGTTCGATTACCAGCATCCCATATGGTCCCCTGAGCACCACCAGGGGGAATTCCTGAGTGCAGAGCCAGGAGTAACCTCTGTGCATCTCCGGGTGTGACCCAAAAAGCAAAAAAAAGATGAACCTTTAGTAGGAACTTTAAGATGAAACTATTTTGGGGGAGTGTGGGGTCACAGCCAGCGATGCTCAGGGATTACTCCTGGCTCCGCCTAGGAATTACTACTCCTGGCGGTGCTCGGGGAACCGTGTGGGATGCCCGACGGAACCCTGGAGGCAGCCCCTAGGATGGAACTTGATTCGTGCTGTAATTTCAGCTACTTTCTAATATGGGGAACCAAAAGAGAAAAAGATCTTGGACCCAGGAACATATCAAAAGGGTTAAGGCGCTTGCCTTGCACGTGGTTAACTCGCGATCGACCCCAGGCACCACGTACGGTCCCCTGAGGCCCGCCAGGCGTCACCTTTGGGCACGGGGCCGGGGCAAATCCTGGCCCCAAATAAGCAAGAAGAAAACCCCGATGGGCCGACACTGCCCCCGTGCGCGCGGGCGGGCGGGCAGGGCACCTGACTTCTCGGCGAAGTGCTCCCGGTAAGTCCGCCACCAGTGCGGGGCCTGCGCCTCCTCCTCCGCCCGGCGCCGGTAGCGGCCGAAGCTCCGGTACTTCTCCAGCCGCTCCAGGTTGCTCACGTCGATGTCGGCGTTGGGCATGGGCCCCAGGGGCGCGGCCCGGCGGTTCAGGGCGGCTGCGGACAGAGCGGGGCGTCAGGTCGGCTGCGGCCCCAGCCCCCGCGGCGTGGCTACGGCGGGGACCCCAGGGGCCCCGCTCCCGGATCGCTCACCCGAGGTGCTAAAGCTCGGCCACCTCCGACCTGCGCGCAGCGCGGCTCGCCACCAGGGCGCCGCCATCTTTCCCGAGGCGGGCGCAGGCGCGGCGCCGCCCCGAGGACCCGCGCAGAGGTGGCCGGAGCAGTGCCTGAGCGCCAGGCGGAAGCCCCGCCCTCGAGGCCACGCCCACCCGGGAGTTGGCTCCGCCCTCTGGGCCGCCGGCGCGGGGCTGGGGAGTAACCTGGGCCCCGCCTGCCTGCCTGCCTCTAGCTACCAGGAGCGGCCCAGGCCAAGTCACAGGTTCCCCGAAGGTGGCACCCGGAGCCCCCAGGAGCGGAACAACGACCCTTCATAGGCGGTTTTTGGTTTGGCCACAGCTGGCGGTGCTCAGGGATGGCTCCTGATGGGGCTTGGGGAAATCTATGGGACGCCGAGGATTGAACCCAGGTCAGCCGCGTGCAACGCGAGCGTCCTCCCCACTGTCCTACGGTTCTGGCCCCATGCAGCTTGGAGTTTCATGGCTTGATTCACGTTCCAGATTGTGTGCAACCTTGCTTGGTTCTCCCTTAGAAACACAGCGGGCGATAATTACAGGTTTGTGAGATGAACTAACACATTTGATGCATTAACTCTAAAATGGATGTTAGCTACCATCACTGTGATAAGGGTTGGAGTTGAGCCATACCCGGTGGTGTTCAGGGGTTACTCCTGGTGTGCTTGGTGCCAGAGATGGAACTGAGGTCCACTGCAGGCAGACAAGCACCTTCCCTGCTGTTCTCTTTCCCGCCCTACTTTTGGTGACTGCTAGTGTTGTTTTATCCACTCCTGGACAGGACAAAGTGTCCTGGGGGTATTGTACCCCTCTAAACTCTCTGGGCTCTGGGTTGCACATGGCAAGCCCAGCAGGGCCTAGGCACCTGTGGAGTGGGGGTGACACCCCCCCTTCCCTGCAGGGTTCGGGGTGGGCGTCCTGCCAGCAGCCTTGTGCTGTGAAGTGCTCACTTGTGACCAAGCCCCATGCCAACAGGGAGAGGCCCGCTGGGAAGGGCTGTTGCCTGGCAGACGGTGAGCAGAGGGGTCTAAGACACAGGTGGCACAGCGCTGCAATGCGGGAGGAGTGAGTCCTGAGGGTCAGGGGCACCCCATCCCTCCCTCCCAGCCTGCCCCACCTTCTCACACTGAAGGGAGTGGACAGATGGCCCCGGAGAAGTCGCTTTAGGAATGGCTGGTTTTATTCGAGTCCATCTGTCCTAGTGGGCTGGGCACAGGCGACCCTGTTCTCATCTTCACCCCCACCTGGCTGGGGGGGCGCGGGGGTAAATTTCCTCCCCCCTCCCCAGCCACAGCCCCCCTCCTCAGAAGCAGGCTGAGCTCGTCCCTCCGCAGGAGGTGAAAGGCACTTCCACTGAGGCTGCACCTCGGTCCCCCGGAACTGACTCCCAGAAAAGGATGCGGCTCCAAGAGGCACTGTGTCCCCACCAGGGTGCACATGGAGGCATCTGCGTGGCATGGCCAAGCTGGTGCAGCGGCTCCCTGTGCACCTCTAGGCCTCTGCCACAGGGGAGGAGGAAGGCGCCCCACCCCAGGAGGGGTGTTTGCAGGCCTGGATGGTTCATGGCGGCAGCCTCAGGCTGAGTGGGTGCTCAGGTTGTAGGGGGCGGCCTTCAGGGTCTGCAGGAAGAACTGCTCATTCTCCAGGAAGTCGTGGTCCTGCCAGGCAGCCGTGGGTCAGCAACTGGCCGCTCCTGCACCCACCTCTTGTGACGCTCACGTTAGGGGACTCCCGATGCCACCCAGCCCTTTCCCGCTGCTGCCCAGCTTGGGGAGACAAAAGCACAGGCTCTGGCAGCCTGGCAATGCCTTAGATCACAGGAAGTGACTTGGCCTGTTTCCAGCCCAGGAGCTGGAAGTGACTGGGCTTTCGTGGGGATGTGGGTGCAACAACTTGGAGGTGGGGGGCTTAGGGGCGCAGCTGCTTCACAGAGAGCCAGGTCCGGAGGGCTCTGCAGCTCGCCAGTAGATGCCCTTTGTCTCTCCCTGGGGCCCTGAGGGGTGCCTGTGTCAGATGCAGGCGTGGCCCTGGGGCCCTGCTCTGGGCGCTCACCTGCTCGGCCGCATGTCTCAGCAGCAACAGCTTGGCTTGGAGGTGTGCGGGGCCAGGGGCTGGTGGCTTGGGAGCAGGCACGACAAGGGCTGCAAACAGAATCACGTGCAAACAGTTGTGGACATGGAAACATGCTCCAAATCCTATTTCTGTGTGAAAAATATTCAAGGTATAAAACAACACACTGAAGGGCCGGAGTGACAGCACAGCGGGGAGGCCACTTGCCTTGTACATGGTTGACCGTGGTTAGATCCCCAGCACCCCAGAGGGTCTCCAAACCCGCCAGGAGTGACCCCTGAGCACCACCAGGTGGGCACCCAAACCAAAATATGACCAAATAAACCAAAAATAGCATAGTGAGCTCAATTTTGGGGGTCTGGGGCTGGACCACAAAGCATCAGGGGCGTGGTAATGTGTCCGCTGAGCCATAACCTGGCTGCATCTCAGCTCAAACACACACATGGACAGACACACACTGCAGTCAGCCAGATGGTGCGTTCACACAGCCCATGACTTGGTATGTGCTGAAATGTCTCAGGTCAGTGCAGTGGAAGATTTTAACACTTTTCCTTCTTTTTTTTTTTTTTTTGGCAGGGGGTGGGGTTTGGGCGATACCCAGCAGTGCTCAGGTGATTCTTGAGAGACTAAATGGGGCGCCAGGAATAGGCTGCACACAAGGGAAGTGCCTTGACCCCCACGCTTTGGGCACTCCACACCCATCACTTGTCTGTCTCTTGGGAGGGAGGTGGTCCAAGGGTGGGGCAGGGTTCTACCTGCAGGAACCCCAGGGCCACCCCACTGCTTTGAGCTGCCGCAGTGGCAGAACCGGAGCAGCCCCAGAGCACCATTGTGTGCACCCCTGCGAAAACACTGAGAAAACGGAATAACAAGACAACTTCGTTTGTTCTGAGTCACACCCAGCAGTGCTCAGGGCCGACTCCTGACTCCGTGCTCAAGGGTCATTCCTGGCAGGGATTGGGGACCATGGGGGTGCCGGGGATCAAACCCAGGTCAGTTGCTTGCAAGGCAGATGCTGTTCCCCTGTACTATTCCTCTGATCCCAACAAGGTGATTGTAGAACTCAGCTGCCCAGCTTCACTGTTCCTTTGGGCTGGTCAGGTGACACCTGTCTTTTCCCAACGCTCACCACTCAGGCTGGGCACTGTGGGGCTGGGGGCCTTGGGGAGCAGCCCTGCAGGGCAGGGGGGCAGGTCCTGTCGGACACGGTCCAGCTGCAGCCTCTGCTGGGCCAAGCTCAGGTGCTCCTGTTGGGAACAAGGAGACATGTGGTGAGGGGGTGGGGGTACGCATGGTGTGTGTTGTGTGTGTGAGGTGAAGGCTGTATGTGTGTGGTGGGAGTGTGTGGGGGTTAGAGTGTGTGTTGTGAGTGTGTGCAAGTGCATATGTGCGTGTGCATGCCTGCAGTGGCTAAACCTTGCCTGGTGCGTGCATGCGTGTGTGTGTGTGTGTGCACATGTGTGTGTCTGCAGCAGCTGCGCCTTGCCTGGTGCACGTATGTATGTATGTGTGTGTGCATGTACATGTGCATGTCTACAGTGGTCGAGCCTTGCCTGGTGCACATATGTGTGTGTTCATGTGTGTGTGTTCATGTGTGTGTGTGTCTGCAGTGGCCGAGCCTTGCCTGGTGCACATATGTGTGTGTGCATGTGCATGTGTCTGTAACAGCCGAGCCTTCCCTGGTGCACATAGGTGTGTGTGCATGTGCATGTGCATGTGCGTATCTGCAATGGCCGAGCCTTGCCTGGTGCACATAGGTGTGTGTGCATGTGCGAGTGCGTGTCTTCGGCAGCCAAGCCTTGCCTGGTGCACGTATGTGTGTGTGCGTCTCTGCAGTGGCCGAGCCATGCCTGATGCACATATGTGTGTGTGCATGTGTCTGCAACAACCGAGCCTTGCATGGTGCACATAGGTGTGTGTGCATGTGCGTGTGTGTATCTGCAGCGGCCGAGCCTTGCCTGGTGCACATATGTGTGTGCATGTGCGTGTGCGTGTCTGCAGCAGCCGAGCCTTGCCTGGTGCACATATGTGTGCATGTGTGTGTGCGTGTCTGCAGCAGCCGAGCCTTGCCTGGTGCACATATGTGTGTGTGCATGTGTGTGTCCGTGTCTGCAGGAGGCCGAGCCTTGCCTGGTGCACATATGTGTGTGTGCGTCTCTGCAGTGGCTGAGCCTTGCCTGATGCACATATGTGTGTGTGTGCGTGTGCGTGTGTCTGCAACAACCAAGCCTTGCCTGGTGCACATAGGTGTGTGTGCATGTGCGTGTGCATGTGTGTATCTGCAATGGCCGAGCCTTGCCTGGTGCATATATGTGTGTGCATGTGCATGTGCGTGTCTGCAGCAGCCGAGCCTTGCCTGGTGCACATATGTGTGTGTGCATGTGTGTGTCCGTGTCTGCAGGAGGCCGAGCCTTGCCCGGTGCACATATGTGTGTGTGCGTCTCTGCAGTGGCCAAGCCTTGCCTGGTGCACATATGTGTGTGTGTGCGTGTGCGTGTGTCTGCAACAACCAAGCCTTGCCTGGTGCACATAGGTGTGTGTGCATGTGCGCGTACGTGTGCGTGTGTGCAGTGGCCGAGCCTTGCCTGGTGCATGTGCTGCTCCTGCTGCCGGAGCCGTTCTTGCTGCTGCTGTACCAGCTGGAGCCGGGCCTGCTGCTCGGAGCGTATGTGCCGGGCCTCGCGCAGCGCCCGCTCCCCCTCCTCATACTTCTCCGATGCCACCTGCAGGCGCCCCCCGGTGATCAGTGGGAGGGCTGCAGGGGTACAGGTGCGGGGAGAGCCGCCTGCCACCTGCCCACCCGCTGCCTGCGGCCCACCTGGCTCATGCTCTCCACCTCCTCTGAGCGGAGCCGGAGGCGCAGGGCGGCGGCGCTGACCCGCTCCTTCTCCAGCCTCAGCTCCTGCCGCTCCCGCTCCAGCACCTCCCGCTCAGCCGCCAGCTGGTCCTCCTTGGCCCGCAGCTCGGTGGCCCTGATCTTGAGCTCTGCCTGCTCCTGGGGACAGAGCCTTTGCTGCCGCCTCCACCTTGGCCCACACCTGAGGGCTGCCCCAGCTCAACTTCTGAGCCTGGTGTCCTTAGGGCTAAACTGAGGGCCAGTGGGGTAGCTCAGGAATACAGAACATGGTGCCCAGATTGGCCCGTGACACCAAAACTCCAAAACCACCTCATTCCTGGCACCAGAGGCTCCCCCAAGCACCACCTGGGAGTAACCCGTGAGCATCTCCAGGTGTGACCCCAGCACAAAAACTCCCACCTGGGACCTGAGGCACTCTGCCTGCGGAAGACGGGTTTGACCCCCAGCGATGCCACATAGTTCCGGAGCACCCGCGGGGGTGGGAGGCCAGAAGAGCTGAGGAGGTGGTGATAGGGGGGAGCTCTCTGCCAGACTACGGTGTGTTTCCACTGTGGAACACCCACAACCTCAGCCCGGGCCGGGGCGCCCTACCTTGGCCAGGCTGAGAAGAGTGCCCTCCCGTTGGCTGTCCACCTGCAGTGCCCGCTCCACCTCGCGCTCAGCCCGCTCCTTGCTCAGCTTCTGCTGCGCAAAGAACTCGGCCCACTCGGCCGCCAGGCGCCGCCGCTCCTCCCCACACTTGTGCATGACAGATTTCTGCTCCTGCAGCAGGGCGCTCTGGACAAGCAAAGGGACAGGTGGGCGGGGCTAGCTGCAGTGGGCGGGGCCATCCGCGGTGGGGTGGGGCAAGAGGTGGGGCGGAGCAATCTGCAGAGGGGATGGGGCGAGCAGTGACGGGGCGAGGCTGTGCTCACCTTGGCCTTCTCCAGCTCCTCCCTCTCCATGGCCATCTGCTGGCCCAGGGCCTTCCTCTGCTCCTCCAGGGCACGCTGCATGGACTCCGCCTTCGACTGCTCAGTGCTCATCCGCCAGCGCTCCTGTGGTAGCCAGGGCATGGCTAAGAGCAAACCCACCGCATGTTCCCACACCCTCGCCCGGATTAGCCTAAAATATGGGTCCCCAGGTCGACCCGCTGGGCTCAGCTGCCAGGTGACGAGGACCCGGGTCCCACACCCAGCATCACAAGTTGTGACCCCCACACTGCTGCGGGCCTCGAGTGGCAATGCACCCTCAGATTGCTGTCTAAAAATTGCTGGGAGCCCCCCAACCCCCGCCCAACAAAAATCTCTTCTCTTCTGGACCTGAGGAAGCAATCCCTTAAAGTTCCTTTATGGTAAATGAAGGTCCTGGGAAACAGCCGAGGCGGCAGAGCACACCTGATACGGGTGTGGGGCTCAGACACCATCCTGGCACCCCAGGGTGGTCCTGGTGATCCAAGCACTGACCTAGCTGGGTAGCTGGGATGGGGGGGAGGGACTCCCCCTATTGAATATTTCTCCACAGATGCACGTGTGTAGGACAGGCATGTCATAGGGGCTTGCCCTGCCTAGTAAGTTTTCATTTTGCCTGCATGTTCAAACGCAGTTAAGAAAAAGGAACTGGGCTTTCTGGTTCCAGGGAAGGGGCTCTGGGCCTCATCCACAGGGGGAGATGCTCTATCACTGGGTCACATTCCAAACTAAGACTGCCTCATGACTGAGGCCCATCCTTGGGATGAAAGTCCTGCCAAAGTTCCAAAGTGCGCCAGAGCCCAAAAAGAAAACAAAGGGCAGAGTGCAGGTTCGCCTGCAGGAGGCCTGAGGGGGGTCCCCAACATCTCAAAGTCCTCCAAGCACTGCCAGGAGCCACTTTTCTTTTGTGTGTTTTTGTTTTTGTTTTGGGGGTCATACATAGCGATACTCGAGTTATTCCTGGCTCCGCACTCAGGAATCACTCTTGGCAGTGTGCAGTTGGGGCCATATGGGATGCTGGGGATTGAGCCTGAGTTGGCCACATGCAAAACAGCTGTCCTACTTTCTGGATTATTGCTCTAGCCCTGCCAACCCAGGTTCAATCCTTGGCATTCCATATGGTCCTCCATGCCTGCCGTAGTGTTCTCTGAGTACAGAGTCAGATGTAAACCCTGAGCACTGCCCCCAAACCCCCAATATACAAAAAACATAAAAGCCAAAAAACAAAACAAAAAAGAACAAAATCCCCAAAGCATTGGTGGGCGGCGGCCCAGATGGACGTCGTGTCCTGTCAGCACAGATACTAGAGCGGGTGAGGAGAGCAGTGGGGTGAAGTTGGGGAGTGTTGGGGTGGAAGGTGGGCCTTGGCAGAGGCACGCAGCAGTCCGGGCCCCCACCTGCTCCAGCTGCCGGCTCTGCTCGTTCAGGCGCGTCTCCATCCTCCCGATGACCTCCTGCAGTCGGCTCCGCTCCTCCTCCATGTCCCGCTGCTCACGGGCTAGTCTCTCCTGCAGCACTGAGCACAGCGGCGGGGCACTCAGCGCCTGGGACCCAAGCCCCGCACGCCCCGGGAGAGGCCGGAGGGCGGCCGCCCCACGGGCACCTCGGAGCTGCTCGTCCCGCTGCCGGATGCCCAGCTCCCGCTCCTGCGTGGCTGTGAGGTGCGAGGCCTCCACACGTGAAGACAGCTCCTGCAGGTTGCTGGAGAACGCCTCCATCTGCTCGATGACTCCATTCAGGGACCTAGGGAGAGCAGGGTCAGCCCCCGGGGTACACGCACAACCCAAGGGGGCCAGGCCCCGCCCTCTACCCCCTCCCTCTCGCCCTGCCTACACTGGTTCCGCCCTCTCCTCCCGGCCCCGCCCACATTGGCTCCGCCCTCTCCTCCCGGCCCCGCCCCATGCATGCAAGCACCGCGTGTGGGAGGTGGCACTGGTGACTGCGTCTATCTCGCGGTCCTTCAGCTGCTTCAGCCGCTGCAGCTGCTCCTCGTGGTCCTTGCGCATCTCCAGGATGGAGGCTCTGTGGGCAGCCGAAGGGGGCTGAGCATCACTGAGGAGCCCTGCCACACTCCGCCCCCTTCTAGGGGCCGTATCTGCTCTACACCACAAAAGGTCCCTACAACAAGCGGCACTGGGCCGGAAGTAGGCCGGTGCCGCCAGGCCCGGGGTGCGCCCACCTCGGCATGCTCCGGGCCCTTCTCTGACTTTTGTTCTTACCTAGAAAGATCCGGGGGCCACACCAGGGACTAGCGGGCACAGACCCGGCCAGAGGGCCGGCCCGAAGCTCACTGATGCCTTTGGGCCTCCCCAGATATCCAGGGACCCCCCCCATCACGGGGGACCATGAGTCCATCCATGGACTCAGTCCGTGCCAGGTCCAGGGCTGCCCCCCACAGCCCGCCTGGGGCCCCTCACCGCTGCAGTTCCCGGAGCCGGTCCAGCTCCTGGTCCTTCTCCTGCACGGCGGCGGCCAGACGCCGCTGGTGCTGGGCGCTGAGCTCCGCGCAAGCCTGCTCGGCTTCCTGGCTGTGCGCCAGGCACCGGGCCAACAGCTCCTCATTCTCCCGCTGCAGCCGCTCTTCCCGCTGCTGGCAGGACGTTTCCAGTACCTTGAGGCGGTTTCTGCGAGCACAGAGTGTGGCCATGGGCTCAAGGCACTGGCCTCGAGAGGTGGCAGTGGGCAGAGGGGGGACTGTACCTGTGCGCGCTCTCCAGGAGCTCCAGGTCGGCCTGGTGGCGCCGCTGCAGGCTCTCCAGCAGCAGCTGGTGCTGGGCGCACTCCAGCTCCAGCTTCCGCACCTGGTGGCGGGTACTCAGCTCAGCCTCCCCTCTGGGGCCGCAACGGGCGACAGCCCCCTTGCCCCCCACTCACCTGGGTCTCCAGCTCAGCCTGCCGGGCCTGGCTCTGCAGCAGCTGGGCCTGGAGCTCCGCTGTGCCGCTCTGCAGCTGGGCCTGTGCGGCCGGTAGCTGCTTCTGTAGCTCGGGGGCCAGCACCAGGCTCTGTAGGGGCTGAGGAGAGACACCAGGTGAGGCAGGGGCCACGTGGGCGGTCTTCAGGGCACAGCCCCACCTCTCCAGCAGGCCCTGGGCTCCCCCACAGGGACAGAGTGGGGGTGCAGCAGAAGCCCCGTGCCAACCCGATGGACCCATGCTGACCGGATCCTGCACCATGGCTGGGCCCACAGGGACCCAGGGACCCCGGCGTGGGGTGAGGCAGCCTTAGGGCCAGGGCGGGGGGGACACCGTCAGCCCCAGGAGGCGGGTGGCCAGGCAGGGGCAGCAGAGGCTGCCGGAAAGACTCAGTTGACAGCTCAAGGCTGGGGGCACGAGGTCGGGGTTCCACACTGCCTCTGAGCGGGGCCCCCTCCTACCTGGAAAGGCACAGAGGGTCCCGCGGGTACCGGGAGGCTCTGGCTGCTCCCCACAGGCTCTGCAGAGGGGGAACGTGGGCAGCTGAGCCCCTGTGTTTTGGGGGAGTCTGGCTTCACTCTGCTTTGAGTGTCCCCAAGAGAAGTGGAAACCAACCTGGGCTGGGGAGGCGTCCAGGCGCGGTGCCCTGCTCGGGGTCCCCTGCACCAGGGGCCGCAGCAGCCTGGTTGCAGGGCGCAGATGGCCTGTGGGTGGAGCGGGCTGGGCTGAAGGGGCTTCTGGAGGGTGGGGTCAGGGTTCATTCAGAGCAGGCGGATGGGGCAGGGGCCAAGGGATCGGCCATGGGCACTGGAGGGACCTGGCTGGACTCTGGCTCCACCGTGTCCTTCCCCTCACTCCGACTATGGACGTACCCTGGGGGCGCTGGCCTGGTGGGTGGCTCCTGCAATGTCGTCTCTGGGACCCCCTTCGGCACACTGGCCACATGTGGGCTGCGGAAGTGAAGGTCCAGGTACAGGAGGAAGCCAAGCTGGGAGGCCCCAGCCCACGCTAGCATCCCGCCTCCCCCCCCCCCCAGCTGGCCATCCTGCGGGGATCTGTCTCCTGAGCCCGAGTCTTGGGGTGACGCCTTGGGAGCCACCCTGCCCCAGCACCCCAGCACAGCAGATGGCCGCGGGTCACTGGACACAGAACCAGGAGGCAGGGCCGTGCTTGCGGGTCCCGCTCAGGGTCAGGGTCAGGTGGCACCCATGGCAGCCCAGGGCCGTACCTGGTCAAGGGGGGAGGGCCGGCGGCAGAGCTGGGGCCCCTGGAGGTTGCCGCAGAGTTGTCTCTGGCCAGGCCCTGCGCCCGCTTCCGAGACAAAGCGTGGCTCAGCCAATCCTCGGTGCTATCAGTGTCAGATGCTCCAGGCTGGGGAACTGGGCCGTCTTTGGTCGGGGCCGCCGGGCTTTGGGTGGGTGCCCGTGGCCCCGAGGCAGGCTGGTTGGGGGGTGCCCGCTGGCTGCTTGCAGGGGGCAGGACCCCTCGGGCGTTCGTGCCAGGGGCCGTGGGGGACAGGTCCCCGTCGTCGTCCTTGAGGCCCAGCCAGTCAGCGCCTCCCTTCCTGGGCTGTGGGGGGCTGGAGCTCGCCTCTCCCTGGGGGTCAGCGCCGCCCTCCAGGAACCTACTTCAGGACACAGGAATGAGGGTTAAGGAAGCAGTTCATCACCAAAGCCGAGTCCCCCGCTTTGGGGTATGGGGCCTGGGACTCCCGGGACAGCGAGCGGGGCACTGTCTGAGCCCAGGGGACAGAGACCCAGGGGTGCCTCGGGGAATACCCCTACTCCCCATCGGAAACAAGACCCCCAAAATCAAATCATTTCGGCACACGGAGTTCACAGCATGCACCAAGAGGCCCCTACTCAGAGGGTTCTACTCACAATGACCCCCACCAAACTCTGGGACAGAGGGCACACCGTGGGGGGGCACAGGACCACCCGCTTACCTGACAGACTGCCGGCGTGGCTGACGGCCCCGGGCGGAACCTACAGAGGGCTGGTACGCCCCGAAGGTGAAGTCCTCGTCGGCCCACGGCTCTCCCTTGTCCGTGAGCATGGGGGCCGGTGAGCTGCCACCAGAGCTGGCTGCAGAGCAGAGGCTGGTGGCTCGGGGGACGCCCAGGTGAGCCCACCCAACGCAGTCAGGGGTTGAGGCTTTGGGAGACCCCCGCAGTGGATGGCTGCCAACACACCCACCAAGTGGCAACGGGTCCCGGGGCTCTGGGGACAGGCTGGGGGTCTATTCCTCCTGCCCGGCCCGTCCTCACCCTGTGGCCGCTGGTATTTCTTATCTAGCTTGAACTCGCGGCGCTCCCCAGTGCCCGGGCGGGCCAGGAGAGTGGCAGCAGTGCTGCGGCCCAGCAGCTCGTCCAGCTTGGAGCGCGCGGGGCGGGGCGCTTCCCTGTGGGCGGAGGGGGGGGTGAAGGGGGGGCGACCTCTGTGTGGGCACGCACTGACCCCCTCCCCCAGGTGTGAAGCAGCAGCAGCACCCGCATCGGCTCCTTACTGGTCTCCCGCCAACCTCCGCTCTGCCGGGGGACTGTCTCCGAACCCCAGGGCTGCCATGACGTCATCCCCATCATCAAACAAGTCTTGCTTCTTGCGGACGGGGGTTTCGCCCGGAGTCAGGGGCACAGAGGGGCCTGCAGGCAAAACGTGGGACACAGTGCCACCCCTGCTGGCCCCGGCCAGGTTTGCGGTATGAGTGGGGAGGTGGGGCTGGAACCCAGCACGGAGCATCCCGCCGCCAGCCCGGCCCTTGCTGCAGCATGACCTCCCTCATTCCTGTGGACTCACCACACCCCAGTTCAAGATCTCAGGTTTTATTTATTTATTTATATTTATTTATTTATTTTGAGGGGGTGGGATGGTGGCTTTGGGCAGTATACTGCCGCCTCTACGGTCAGGAGTCACTCCTGGCAGGTGCTCAGGGACCATACAGGATGCAGGGGATCGAACCCAGGTCCGCCACGTGCAAGGCAGGTGCCCTCCCTGCTGTGCTATTGCTCTGGCCTGCAATCAGATGGGGGTCACAGGGACCCTGGTTCTGCAGTCAGCCTGCTGGAAGTGAGCTACCCCTCGTACCTGGATCCCGGACGGGGGCTGGGTTTTCCGTCTCCACCAGCGGCTTCTCAGCACCGTCCTCTGTGTCAGAAAGGAGCCCTGCCAGGGGGTCCTCCATGTCTAGCGGCCGGGAGGGAAAGTGCAGGTCAGACGGCAGCACAGGGAGGCTGACCCGGCCCCCAAGCCCCAAGCCCAGCTGGGGACATCCACCACCAAAAACAGAGGCAGAGAGAAAGGGGACATGCCGCACACGCCCAGCCTCCCTTTGTCACCAGAGCTCAGGGGCCAAGTTGGGGCCCTGCCCCAGCACGCAGGGCCCTGGTACCTTCAAAGGAGAACTTTCCAGGAACCTTCTTGCTGGGAATGGCACCCCCTGCAGGTCATGAGAAGGTGAAGTTACGTGGCCATGCACAGGCAGGGCCCCTGCAGTTGTGTGTGTGTGTGTGTGTGTGTGTGTGTGTGTGTGTGTGTGTACTGAGGGGTGGTGTGTGTACTGAGGGGTGGTGTGTGTGTGTAGTGAGGGGTAAGGGTAGGGTGTGTGTGTGTGTGCTGAGGGGTAGGGATGGGGTGTGTGTGGGTGTGTACTAAAGGCGGGTGTGTGTATACTGAGGGGTGGTGTGTATGTACTGAGAGGTGGTGTGTGTGTGTGTGTGTGTGTGTGTGTGTGGAGGCGAGGGCAGAGGGTCACGGGCTGAGGAAGGGGACGCCCCCACCATCTCAGGCAAGGCTGCGTCATGCCCTCACCGAGTCTGCTGATTCAAGCTGGGCGATGTGCGGGACGTAACCCCATGTTAAGTCCATGGGACTCAGAGGGACGGAACAGCCACAGGAAGGGAGGCCCCCCGCCCCAGCCCCTGGGCTCTGGGGTCCTCGCCGGCACCCATGTGGCCCTCCTCCCAGCCACCAACGTACCAGTTGCCTTGCGGTGACCCGGCAGCTCGTCTTCCCTGGGAACCTTGGCGGCTGCTCGGCCGGGGGCCAATGATGACTTCCGCAGCCCTAGGAGGTCAGCATCCATCTTGTCCAGGTCCTGGGAAGGCGAGAGGAGGTCCTGTCGGGGCTTAGCACCCCGAGCCGGGGGCGCAAGTCCACGTGGGAGAGACGGGGTGAGGGGGCGGGGGAGGGAGGCAACTGGGAAAGGCACTGCTTGAGGAGAGGGTGGGGCTGAAGCAGAGGCCAGAATCAGGGGTTGCAGAGTCAGGAGGGGAGGGGGTGCATGTCCAAGTGGCTTGGGCAATATTCACCAAGGTCAAGTTTGCTGAAGAACAGGTCTGGGGAGTGGCTGGAGCAATACCACAGCAGGGAGAGCCTCCGCCTTGCATGTCGCTGACCCGGGTTCAATCCCTGGCATCCCATATGATCCCCCAGCACCAATGGAGGGATCCTTGAGCTCAGAGCCAGGCGTGACCCCTGGGCACCGCTGGGTGTGGTTGGCCCCCAAACAAAACAAGAGCCGGCTGGGGACCCCACGCTCCTGAAGGGGACAGCTGCCGGGAGGGGGCACGGTCTAGGGAAGTGAAGGTGCCCTTGTGGACACCAGGATTAGGACAGGGAAGAGAGGCACCGGGTCTGCCCAGTGGGTATGGACCCCAGCCCGGCAGGGGGGGAGGAGGTGGGCCAGGGGGTGCTCACACTCGAGCCCCCAGCCTCAGTGTTGACCTGCCAACAATCTGTGGGCACGCCCAGGGGAGGACCAACAAAGCAAGGCAGGGAGTCTGGGGACACGACCCTCGGGGCGTGTGGGGGGCACATTTGGTCTGGTTCTGGGCAAGACTCAGAGTCACCAATGATGGCATCTGGAACTGGAGGGTGCCACG